CCAGGTGTATGGCGGCGCAAGGCTCGAGGTGGACAGAGGTTGACTTGGTAGCGGGAAATGAAGTTATTGACAACCAAAGTGGGTGCAGTTGGTCCGTCTCGTGTTCCGGGATGGAATCCACGTGACTCGCTTTGTGCTTTGGTCGAGACTTTACAGGACATGGCTCGCAACCGACACCAGTGGCGCGTCTGCTGCCGTCTCCTAATCGGATTGCCTGTTTAAAGTATGTCTGGTGCTGAGTTATCTGCAGGGTAGTGGCTGATTATGACGCGTGGCAGTGAAAGCCGCAAGGAAGCTGTCTCGCCGATGCCGCCTTATCTTTGCACGATAGCCAGATGGTTGTGATAGTATGTTGTCTACACATGGTGCAGGCGCTTTGACCCTGAATGTTTGCTTAGGACATTAAGGTTTTCAGGTAAGTCTCCCTTCTCTTCCTCTTATTGTTCTTTATTTCATAGGTCAACATAGTTGTATGGCAGCGAAGCATCAGTTCAAATGGCGGATGTACTACTGTTGTTTATTGTTGAGCCTTGTAAGAGAAGAATGCCCGGTGCGCAAAGTGTATCGACGTCCCAATAAGTAATAGTGCCATTTCTCACAGGCTCAGAGGCGTGCGAGGGCTTTCTTCTCGCCGGTGGATTAATTTCTTTCAGTATCAGGCAAGTTACGTGATGCGCATGCAATCACTTTTTCCTCGCCATCCTGCAGCTGGGACAGAGCTGCACCCAAGCCAACATCTGAAGCATACGTTGAGACAAACGTTGGACAGTGCTCATTGAAGATCGCTACCGTGGGAGTGGATTCAACCATCGCTCGTATGGTCATGTAAGCATTGTTTTGTTCAGTGGCCCAACGAAACTCCCAGTGTTGGCGCGTCAGCCTCCGTAACGGCTCGGCAACAGTCGCAAAATTCGGTAAATGTGGAAAATAATGAGAACACAAACCCAAGAAATATTTCGTCTGTGTAACATTGCATGGTTTTGGACAATCGAGAATGGCTCTGGTGTTCTGCACATTAAGCTTAATACCCGAGGTAAAAATAATATGTCCAATACACTCGATCTCTGTTACAACGAATTGGCATTTGTTGGTATTCAGGCGGAGATTTAGTTCATTCAGTCTATGCAGCATATTATGAATGATTTCCGGATGTTCGCTTGGGTTACTTCCAAAGACAAATCTCATCCATATATACAACATGTCCTCTGAGGTCTGATAACGATAGAATAATAAATTGCTGTCAAGCTGCTGGGGCACTACTGAGGCCCATTGGTACCACTTTGTATTGATACAAACCGTTTTACGTGGGGAAAGCAGTCAAATGTCGTCAAACTGAAGTCAGTGGCAGCGGGAGTACGCACTGTGAATATCCAGCTTTGAGAAAAGTTTGGCGTTTGAAAGCCTACCTATCAACCCATCAAAAGAAGGCAGAGGGAACTTGTCTACAATTATATGTCGATTAAACGCTCGAAGGTCGGTGCATAAACGTATAGAGCCATCTTTCTTTTGAACGGCAACTAGTGGATGAACCCATTCAGAACACTGTATTGTTTCTAGCAAGTCTTACGTGACCGTATTTTTCAAGGCTTGCGACAACGCTTCTCGCTTAGCCATAGGTACAGGCCTACATTGTGAAATGCTAAACGTTTTGTAATCCGCGCTCAACCGAATGCGGTGCATTGCTTTGGGGACTCTACCAGTATCCGGAAGAAAGAGATTTGGGTAACTGGAACGTACCGAATGAGGGTTGACACTAGTAATGGTCACTTGGTTGACGCATGGTGATACGTTCAATAAGACCATGGCATAACGTCGCAATAGAGGCTTACTATCAGTTTTAAATACGTAAACGTCAACTATACGTTTCCTGCTATTTATAAGAAACATTGAAACCGTGACAAAACCGAGTATGTGGACATCACCATTGGAGTAGCTGCTGAAAGTGTAAGCGGAAGGATGTACAGTTAGCTGACCAAAATGCTGTTTGTAAAAACAATATGGCACAACTGTGATTGGTGACACGGAATCTAGTTCCACGACTAGAGGAATGGTTTTGTTGCTAACTTCCAAAAACACACGACGAACATCAGGGGAAAGCAGTCTGGGTTCTTGAGTTGGAGACGCAAGTGGATGTTCGCATTCCTTAAGGCCGTATATGGATTGTTCAGTGGTGACCGGAGAAGCTCTAATGTCATTTGCAGAATCAACTAAAGAAATGGCGCGGGAACGACAAACTCGAGCAAAATGACCAGTCTTACCGCAATTCAGGCAGATTTCACTCTTTGCAAGACATGACTTATCATTTGCACGACATTTCCACAACGGTAACACATTTCTAACTGAGGATCGTGTCAGAGAGCGTGTAGAATTTAAACGGTCAAGTTCAGTAGCTCCTGTATTAGAGAGAAAAAGTTTTGTTTTGTTCCGTGACTTCGAGCTTCGCGCGAGCCACGTCACAGACGCTGTCCCATGTGAGCTATTCTGCGTTCTCCTTTAAGAGACTCTGATCTTAGAATCCGAGATCAGAAATCAATTGTTGTATTAGCGTAGTTTCTTCCACTTTTTTATTGGGAGTACTATTGTAGTCACATTTTCGAACAGAACAAACAAGACGGGAAATGAATGCATCCACTGATTCACCAGATGCTTGTTTCAGCTGCGAAAAATTGTACCAAGAAGTATAGGTGTTCACTCGAACACCCCAATGCTTATCGAGGTTTGGTTAGTCCTCTGTCAACGTGGGTTTCTCCCGCAGGTTTAGAGCATCAAATATACGTCGACACTCTGTGCCGAGGTGCAAGCGCGAAAGCTTTAAATTATTCTCCATTATCAGCGTCACGGATGGATTGAGAACTGGTAGCACAGGAATATAATCTGAAAAACTATTTTTCCAGTATTCCTAGCATTCTGTATGTTGGGTAACCGGAGAGTCAGTCCAGAACAGTGTAGGGGTAGTAGCATGCAACACGCGACACCAGTTTGTTGAATCCCAGAAAAGCAGCAGACCAGTGCAGCACCGGAACGTATGTATGGAGAAAACTGTCCGCACACACGCGCAGTACAATTAAATCGAGAGGTTCGAATTGCAACCAATCAAATACAAGATCACATGATTTACCACCGAGTGCTAAATAGAAGTGTGAGTAGGATAAGCGAATCGATGGCGAAAACAAAGCAAAGTATTTGAATACGACACTCATAAACCCCGCAACCACTCGTCGTGGTCCACTGTAGTCAATGACGGCCGGCTTTTCGAATGAGGTCATGTGTATCGACATCATTGTCCCAATACCAGAGATTGCAGGAGGCCATCGTTACGTACTTGTGATGGTAGACTATTTTACTAAATGTTGTGATGTAGTCCCCCTTCGAAATATAGACGTATGGAGTGCGGCAGTAGATTTCTTTAGCAATTGTGTGGCAAGGTGGGGTTCGCCCTATTAGAAAAGTATCCCAAGAAGGCGACAGATGATAGATGCAAGCGTTTCGTATTGTCCCTTCAGTACCAATAAAAATAACCGATAAGAAACAATGATAGATGGCGGTTGAGACCAAACAAAGCAACAAACTTGGGAATCAAAATGGATGAAAGTGGCTCGATATTTTTGTCCACGAAAACATGGGGCTGCTGAATAACTGTTTGTGCGCGCACAGAATTGACTGCATTCAACTAATCGCGATAGCCTCAGCGAATCGAAGAAATCGCGGATTAGAGCCGCAACAAAATTTCGAACGCGGTATCGAGCCAGATCCAGTATTCAGTAGGCGTTTACCTGTCGAGGATGCCGGACGCTTACGCAACGGCAAGGCTTGGGGAGGGTAGTGGTGTTGATTCTTCTCACGTAGGATTTACAACGGTACATGTTTCTTCATCCTGTCGGTTCTGTCAATGTAATTAGCTCCGCAGTTACATATGAATTGGTGTACACAATGAGGACGTTGATTAGCAGAGCTTCTTTCCTACGAGGTACCGGAAACGTGTTGGTTCGGTTGATGATGACGACTTGAGCAGCATAGTAGGTGCTATGCGCAGCAGCGATGAAGCGCTTTGTGGTCATTAACGTGCGAAATCATCCTTGAGAGTAATTCGACATATACTTTATTCTTGAACGCAGACCGCGGAGCCCACTTCGAGAGTACACTCATGAGCGAGGTGTGTCATATTAGGCATTCGGAGGACGCACGCCTGCCTACTACCCGGTGGGAATCAGACTAGTTGTACGCACTAACCATACGCTGAAGACGTTATTACAGGCTTTTATGACTACCGAGACTTCTCGAGAATGGGACATGGCTCTGCTCAAATTTTACTGGCCTATCGAGCGTTCGTTCACTCATATACCTCATCTTATGATGACGGACCGTGAACCGCATCCACCCTCGGATACTTGGCGGTTGACGTCACACCATAAATTCCTAACCGCATCGGGGTATGTACTTTGATTACAGTCGAGTCTGTTGCGAACGCACCAGTTGGTACAAGCGCACCTGCAAACCTCACAACGCCACCAGAAGGCTTATTTTGACCAAAAGGCCTTCGGAAGTCCGTTCAAGCCTAGTGATACGGTCTGGCTTAAAACAGCAGTAATACCACCAGGCGTCCCTGCGGAACCGTCGAAATTGAGAAGAACCGTTCGTCGTAGAGGGAGTGTTGTCAAATCTGACTTACCAAATTATGAAACCAGGCGCTCCTGGTTCGTCGATGGTTGTACACTTCAACAGGCCGAAACCAGCTACAGGAGTTTCAGGCGCTGAGGACAGCACCTCTTACAGGAGGAGCTTTGTAACACAGGGCTTGTTGTCTGAACCTTCCCCGCTTTCCTGATCGGCGTGACCTTGATTGTGGACCGTGCATTCTACGCTTAGTTGCTCTCACTTATTTCGATCACTTCCTGGTTCCGGCTTGTCCACAAACACTCGATACGATATTCATCGATATTTGTTCTTACTAGGTGGTTGAGGTTTGACGTCCGGCCAACTACGTTCTTTTTGTTTTCCATTGCAGGCCATCAGGTCCACCGCGACCTACTCTGCTTGTCGGCAACGGAAAAACCCGGAATCTCCAACAGGACGAATATTACCCTATTCGGATATATCTGATCAGGCCTCACCTCACCTGAATGAGTTACTCTCAATCGGAGAAACCTGCAAATACCTCGGTGAGCGCTGGTATCAGTTTTCCTTCCACCCTAATCAAGAATTTCAAGATTTTGTTGTGTTTATTACGTTGTGGAGAATAAATTTGCTGATAATTCCTATTCGGCGTGGGTTTGATGCACTTCGTTGCGACATGACCATCTCGAAATAAGCGGTACAACTTTTGACCGTTTGGCACCCATGTCCTAACTTCTCTCATATGATTAATCAACTCCAATTGGCTTCACTTGGAGCCACGTACGGATAACTCTGTAATCTGTCTTCCTGATAGTACTGGTGTCTGCTGAGTGACTGCTTTCTCTCCGGTTTTAATACGAGAAGGGTTGATTTGAATCAGAGGCAACTAATCTCAAAGGGGCACAATGGTGCAAACTCGTTTATACCAGCGTTACTACGAGCTGACGGCATTCGTGCGCACATAGACGAGCTTTTATGCATAGCGATGAGTGTGCTAATGTCTTTACTCATGGGATACCTTTGCCATAGGTTGAGCTGGTCTCAAATGTTCCGGACTCCCGCCTAACTTAGATTCATCAACATCAGTACATCAGTCATTTGAACTGATGCTTTGCTGCCGTACAGTCACGGTGGCCTATTGAACGAAGAAAAATAAGGAGTGAAGGGGGACCTACGGTTAAATCATAATGCCTTAAACAAACACTCGGGAGTCATCGCGCCTGCATCTTGTCAATAACATACCATCACAAACAGCTGGCTATCGTGCGAAGATAAGGCGGCATCGGGGAGACAGCTTCCTTGCGGCTTTCACTACTCCGCGTCATAATCAGCCATTGCCCCGCATATAACTTAGCGCCACACACACTTTAAACAGGCAATCCAACTAGGAGACGACATCAGACGCGCCAATAGTGTCGACTGCGAGCCATGTCCTGTAAAGTCTCTAGCCAAGCACAAGGCGAGTCACACGGACTCCAGCATGGGAGGTGAGACGGACCGAGGGCACCCAGTCTGGTCGTCACTGACTTCATTTCCCACTGCCAAGTTTATTTCTACCCACCTCGTGCCTTGCGCTATCCCACATCTTACAAACAAAACAAGGTCCTTCTGGGTAAGCATAGACCGGGCTTACGTAGTCGATGCACATGCCAACGCAACTTATTCAGTGCTATCTGTTGTTCTAAGGAAAAAGCCGGGTTATCACTGCCCAATACTCGCACACGCACATCCTCGTTGCGAACACGCTGGTGCCATCCGAAACCAGAAATGCTTCGCAGACAACATTGATCAGAGACCTGAAGGCGCTGCAGGTCCTCAGATCGGAGGGGCCAAATCTCGCTACCATTTAGTAGGACGGCGCTCACTGTGGCCTTGTAAACACGGCCTTTTAGACGGAGTGAAATGTCTTTCTGGCGCCACAGATGCTATGCATCCATCGTTGCTGATGCAACTGCTAAGGCATGTGAATTGATCAAGTACATCGAGTTCCTCACCATCAAGAGTCAAGCGGTCGCCAAGTGCCTAGAAATCCTGTATCTGCACTTTGAAGCTACGAAGGACATGCCAAATGATGGAATCACTCTAATGAGGTTATTCAGGATTGGTTGTGCAGCTCAAAAATTGTTAAAAAAGCAGGATTATATCCTCTGCATAATTAAGATCAACTAGCCTTTCGCCTGGCAGCACCTCAACGCCTGCATCGCGAGGTTCAGCAAGAGAACACTCCATGATGGGGTCCACGACGAAAGTTAACAAAAATGGGGAAATCGGACAACTCTGACGAACGCCACTTGTTGTCAGAAAGGCATCCGACTGGTTACCGTATACTCTGACGCGGCCCGCGGTGTTCGAGTATAGAGCACGTTAAATGTTAACATGTTTCATGGGAACACCTTTCCGTACAAGTATTTCGAACATAGTGCATCAATCAACTGAGTCGAACGCACAGTTGAAGTCGGGGAACACAGCTGTTGTTGGCCTGTGGCCCTGCTCTAGCACCTGTCGCAGAGCGAGTATGTGGTCTACACAGCCCCGTCCTGGGCAGAAACCTTCCTGCTCCTCCGTAATCCGTGATACTCGTTCCGCAGTGAGGTGTCGAACGAGAATTGAGGCCAGTACTTTTATCCCCATAGGCGTCAGGCTTATACTCCGTGGTTAGTACAGTCGATGCGATTGACTTTCTTGTATATCGCCAATGTAATTGATTCACTCCAGTTAGCTGGGATGGTGTCCTTCCAAACCTGCTCCAAAAGGGAGATCAGTGCTTTGCAGTGGGCCTCACTTCCATCCTTAAATAGTGCGGATTCAAGTGAATCCGATCCAGCAACACGGAAAAGATTGGGGGCTGTGATCGCGTTTCAGCCCTCAGGCTCTGATGAAGCCTCTAAACTAACTGGCCATGATTCAGCTTGCAATACCTGAGTAGGAAGAGGTCCGGGAGCAGGGGGCCAGCTGAACTGACCTTGAAAGTGTTCTAGCCAACGTGCCATCCGGCGCTCCTTATTGTGTATCAGTGCACCCGCACTGTCTCTGATTTTCTCACCGACGCCTGGTTTCCTGGGACCAGTAGTGCGGATCAGCGGGAAAAGCTTGCGGTAATTGCCTACTGCTCCTGCCTCCTCCATTTCTTGTGCCCGAGTGGTCCAACAGGCTTTCTAGTCAGCACATAGGCTCCGCTTTAGTTCGCGCCTAGTAGTCCGTCTGGTCATATTGTGCTCAGAACCGACCGGGAGGTTTCTTCTGGATTCCAACAGGTTCACTTACCTCTCGGATATCCTGTGAGTCGTGCGATGACGATTGATAGTACCGCAAGCGGAGAATCCTGCATGTTACATGACTACCGCGATCCTATTCCATTGAAGCTCTGTGTCATTAGGACAAGGGTGCAAAAGTTGGGTACGCAAATCATCCTGGTACGCTTGCCTGACCGAGGGCTGAGATAACTTCTCAGGTTCCACTTGAGGGAGACGCTTAGTACGCCTCCCTCTAAAGGTCTTGGAAAAAGGAGGGTACATCATGGTATGATCAGAGTCGACGCAAGTACTCTGGTACGAGCGACAATCCAGAATGGAACCACGCCACCTGTAGGTTATGACAACGTGATCTATTGGGGTCCATCATTGGCCAGCTACAGCAGAACGCCAAGTGGCACTTTGGCGCTCACTGTGTATAAAAGCAGTGCTACTACGAAACAGCTGGTGCTCCACACACAGCCACAATAGACGCTTTTCGTTGTCCGTCCGTTCGGAGTTGAGTCCATACTCACCACCTAACTAAGTTTCTGCGGTGCTCAGATGACCTGCTTGCGCATTCATATCCCCTGCATGAACTGTGATATCAGAAGTGGTAGCATTACATACTAGCATGTCCAGTTCGTGGTAGAGAGCGTCCTTTGCAGCATCAGAGTTGCAATCGGTAGGGACATAAATGGAAACCACAAGTAAACAGCGTCTAGTGCTACGCCGTGGATCAGCCTTAATTGATGTCCTCAGACGGACTGCACATAAACGGCTGCTCAAGGGAGTCCAATCCACTAACGATGACGGCCTTAAAGCTGAGAACAATGTCCACTCCAGCTTGAGCAGGGGTTACGACATCAGCATCTCCGGATGCGTGCAACCAATAGCGAGAGGACAAACTGGGTGCAGTTAATTCCACAATCCCATGTGGGTTATTGATCCTAGTTTCGGACACACCACACACGTCAATACTCAGTATGTCTAACGTGCGTGTGAGTGTAGTTTGTTGACCTATTTGTTTTATAGTGCGAACGTTGAACACTGCTAGGGAAACGGGACAGTGTGGCCTTGTAAGGAGCTGTTGGCGGTTGGTGTCCAGTGGGTGGCGCAGGAAGATAGCTGCAGATGGTATGACTCCAGTGACATTGTGGTTGCTGTCAATTAAACTGGGAACTATGGGAGAAAAGTTAGTTATGGGGGTTGAGAGGGGAGTAAGAAAAACATGTGGAAAAGAAAGAAGGGAGGCGCCAGCAGTAGCATGTTTTTGCTTATCATCCCTGCAACAGATAAGGCGACCCTTGATGAGCTGCGCGACGGGTGCTGCAGTATGTATTTAACGTTTGAGGAAACAGTCATGGTTGTATGTGGGCTGAGATACTGCCAGTGCGCCCACACCTAGACAGGAGAATGATGGGGATCCTCAACTAAAGCTTTTATCTCAAAAGCTTGTGTAGTATTCTTAGGGTATCGGACTAACACCGCGTAAGTAACGAATATCCGTAAGCGGGAGAAACAAAGACCTGTAGCCAAGGTCAACTATTGGGGAATTCAAATGCCACATGAGTACAGAAAGTAGAAATCAAGCAATTACCGAGTTCACGCACACAGTAGATGTAAAGCACAATCGCCTCAGTCAGTGGCACGTGTTGTGACGGTCGGGCACTCGGTATCATTCAGACAGTCACTCGCAGTTACACACTGCAGGAGTAATATAGCACGGTTAGCATGGTGACCTGGATGTCGGACATGGGCAGCGTAGATACGACAGTGTCACAGTCACGTGCGAACTTCGCGATCACTCGACACAGATGAATCATTGCAAGACTAGGTACGCGCCGGCCAACAAAGGCGCTCTTAAGAGGCCAAAGGGTTTCACCCAGTATAACTCAATGGGTCAACGAGGTGCGCAAACCGTCGCACCACGTTAAGGTCCAGTCTCGTCGTGACGTCCTAACTTGGATTAACATAACTGAGACTCAAGTCTCTAGGCTATTAAAAACTCCAAATCCTTTTACGATTTTTGGTACTGTTTCAATCCGTCCGGAGCTGCTGCATGAATTAATTGCTGAACTAAGTAGTCCTCTTGCATACGTAAGGGGACCACTTAGTTCAACGTTTTACATACGTGCCGGCCTGTATCCTTAAGGATCACAAGCCTGCCTTGTAATCCGAGGGCACGGGTTCGAGCCTGCGTAGGGACCGGGCGACCCTCGCAGTATCCTTAGCCCACGTGCGACTGGTGGTGGTTGCGCTGCTGCAAAACGTCGGTACTGCGTATCTGCGTACTTCAGATGCCTTTTTTCTTACATACATGTTTTCATAATCGCTCGACTGTCGTGCTTTACCTTCGGAATGTAATGGGGCTATCATCTGTCCGATTTTTCAGAACGTCTGCAATAATCCGTCCACGAACTATCGGCCTGCCGCTTCGACTAGCGTAGTAGTCAAGGTGTTTGAAAGTCTGGTAAGGGATACTTTGGAGAACCACCTGAATTAGTAAGATTCTCATTTTCGCACGACGTGGATTCCGTGAGGTTTTCTCTGATCTGACAAGTTTAATGGTAGCTCGTGAATGCTGGGCTTAGGCAATGGACGGCTTTCACGCCCTTAACTTTTCGAAAGCTTTTTTTCTGTCTCTCAGCTTTGACTCACTAAAGTTGAGGTCTTATGGGATATCTGATCGCTTCCCTAAATGAGTGCGTTTTTGGAGTAGAGAGATCATTGTGTTCGCATGGGGCGTAGCCTGTCGCTTAGTGGGGTCTCGCAACTTTCGGTTTTAGGTCCGTTGCTGTTCGCAATTTATTTATCTGTAGATCTAGCTTGGAACATGTCCTTCGACCTGACTTAGCAGAAAACCTTAGTACTCTAAGCGAACGTTCAGGGTCGAGGCGCCTACACCTTGTCAATAACATACCATCACAAAAAGGTGCAAAGATAAGGCGGCATCGGCGAGACAGCTTCCTTGCGGCTTTCATTACTCCGCGTCATACTCAGCCATTCCGCCGCGGATAACAGCATCAGACACACTTTCAGCAGGCAGTCAAAAGACGAGATGACAACATTCGCTCTACTGGTGCTGACTGCTTGTCATGTCCTGTAAAGTCTTGAGCGAATCACAAGGCGAGTCACGTGGACTGTAGCCTGACAGGCCAGGCTGTCCGACGGCACCAAGTCTCGTAGTTATTGACCATATTCGTGTTTTGAGTTTCTTTGTCTCTCCCCCTCCAGCTTAGCGCACCTTTCCACTCACGATCTTATTTGCTAGATATACTGTAACCCTTATCGTGCCACAATACATAAGAAAAGAAGAAAGAAGTATGCATCGGAAGCACTCTGTCTTAGTCACCGGAAACGGATGCTCATCGTTCCGGACAGTTAACAACCGGCTATTTTGATGGCAACTAAGTTACATTATGCCTACTAAGTAAGATCGTGGGCCGAAAGGTAGGCTAAGCCGATGGGGGAAGGACAAAGAAACTCAATGCAAAGTAGGTCACTGACTATTAAACTTTGGGCAGTCGGTCCGCTCAGTCTTCCAGGCTGTAGTCCACGTGACGTACCTTGTGCTTCATCCATGACTTTACAGGACATGGCATGCTGTCGACACCAACGGCGCGTCTGTTGTCGTCTCTTCGTTGAACTGCCTGTTAAAAATATATTTGGTGCTGAGTTATCTGCGGGGTAATGGCTGATTATGACACGGGGTAGTGAAAACTGCAAGAAAGCTGTCTCACCGATGTCGCCTTATTTTTGAACGTTAGCCAGCTGTTTGTGTCGGTACGTTCTTGATAAGTTGTATTCGCCTTGACCCTGACTGTTTGCTTAGAGCAATAAGTTTTTTCTGGGTTCCCCTTCTCTTCCTGTCATTATTTTTCTTTCCGTAGGTCACCGCGGTTGTAAGGTAGCGAATCATCAGTTCAATAATGACCGATGTGCTGCTGTTGATAATGATGTGTTTAAACGTAACAAGGCTGCTTGACGTGAACCTTTCTCCATCTTTGCTGAATGATCGAAGTGACGCTTTTTCATTTGGGCTTGCTTCTCTATTTGACACGATCTAGTGACTTCAGACTGGTGACTGCCAGCTGTCATCTCCAACTTCAAGAGAACTCGACGGACTTTGTGCACAAATTGTCCAGGCATTAAGTTACTCCTAAACATCTCACAGCTATCATTCTTTGATGACTTACCATTCCTCTTGATAACCGAATCACTGAACAGCAGAGTAACTTCCACCCTGGTCGTGGTTGCATTGAGCACATATTTACTCTTCGTCAAGTGTTAGACGGTAACACACTTGATGGTTTTCTTTGACTTGAAAGCCTCTTTCGACTCCTTTGACTGCGCAGTTTGTGGCACTGCCTATCCATGAAGGGTTTGCCGGCTAAACTTCTTTCCATTCGGAAGTTTCTTTATTGCGGCTCCCTTGGCAATATAAGGGTATACGGAATCTGTCTCCTGAGTTCTCCACAACAATTGGGGTTCGCCATGGTTGTCCAGTATCTCATTTCCTCTTCAACTTTGTTATCGAAATGATCATGAGTGACTCCGTTCTTGCAGACTCTACCGGAGTGAAAGTTCTGCCTGAGGACCAGCTGATAAACCTAGAGTATGCAAACTACCTAGCTGTCCTTGGGTTGACGCAGTGAATATGCAAACACCGCTATTTAGAATGATGTGCAGTGCTGCACGCTTCGGCATGTGTACTGTACCTTTCAAGTGCTAAGTACTGTTGCAAGACTGGATCGGTACGCCACCGGTTCTGGCTATTACGGAACAGCCACCGGAAGTGTCAGATCGGTTCGCGTATTTTAGTAGCTCTATCACTTCTGGTGGTCACATCACAAATGAAGTTACTTCGCATATCAGCAAGGTCCGTGTGACTCCAGAGACTTAACCATATATGGGGACGGCGTGATATCATTTGGGCAGTGAAAGCTAGAATGTATAACGCCGCACTAAGGCCAGTCTTACTGTATGGTTCAGAGTCATGGCCAGTTCGCAGTAAAGGCATTAAACGCTTGGCCGTGTTTGACTACCGGCGTTGTCGTAATGTTGCACACATTTGCTGCGAACACCGAGTGATCAATACTGAGGTCCGCCAGTTGGTTTTTGGCAAGAAACCTTCTGGTGCCTCACCCGAGTGTTTGCTGCATGTTTACTTACCTTGGCTATATCATTTCTTCCGTATACCAGTTGGTCGGTTTCCTCAGTGTGCATTGTGCGCCGTAGGTGCACCAACTTTGGCGAATCCACAAGGTGCCCATTCGTTGCAGTTGCATAAGAATATACTGAAGCTGGCTGCGAGACGTTGCCAGACCCGTGCATACCGTCTACGTGGGTGAAAACCCTTTCAGACATGGTGCACTCGCGCAGTCATTGGCGCTCCTGCATTCGCTTACTTGCATTTAGCAGTTAATTTTCATTTCCTTCTGATTAGTCTAACTTACCTTCCTCTTGATTTCATTTCATTTACATTCTATTTGCATTCTACCACAGCTTGTTGCCATTGTTATATATTGTTATTCTTACGATATGGGTCGTGGCAATTGGATCCACACTCTATTTCGGTACCCGGACCATAGTCGTTTGTTATGGGGACCCAACGTCTCTATAACTATTAAAGGCTGAAATTACGGAAGACTGAAAACCCGATTCACTCAAGTGCACATGTACTCAGAGCCAGACAAAACGCACACGTTCAATCAGCCTTCCAACTCGTGTAACATGCACTTTGTTTAGCCTTTGCACCCAGAAACAGTCTTGTTTCCAACCAAACACACATTGTTGTATCCAAGCAACATTCATTTTTCCGGACAACTCTCGCCAAACTTCCAACATTTCTGCTCAGTTTACGGACTTGGCACATTTACACAGAACCATGTTTCTTGTTTCCAGGGTTTGGTTACGCAAACCCTTCCAAGGAAAAACCCCCCTTCATCTCTGTTTCATGATATAAAATGAGGCTGTAGAACGCTAGAATCGCCTTCGCTTTGGCCAGTAAAAGCGCCTGTGGCAAAGGCCTGTCTTGTTCTTGCTTCAGTCTTGGGTTGGGAAATCGTGCGTAGAAACTTTGCGTTCGGTCTAGGAACCTGTTCGACTCGCGTGAATTAATCTTTCGCGGCTAAGTTCCGAGAACCCACAGACTTCGAAATTGTCAGTTACTGTGCCGTGCGAGAACTAATTCTGAGTCTACGTACGTTCATCCGACTAGGAGTCTTGGTATCACATTGTTAGAACCTGACGTATTCAAGAGGCAGTATTCAACATCGTTCAAGTGAGCTGAACTGTTCTGAGCCTGAGTGAACCAAATGCGTGGGTCATAGTGTCAAAAATTTGGTGGTTCACTCAAACTAAGTACGTTTAGCGGTGAAGAGGTTGAAAGCAGGCTGGTGTGATGGAATAGACATCCGCTCATGTTCTTCAGTGATGGTATGCGTCTTGTGGCTGTTCGCAGTCTCAGCGACAGTTAGCTCCCGAGGCGGATGCTGCGATCACATTTACATGCATACATATTTCTATATGTATATTCCTATGTGCACCACATCAAGTGAAGAAATTTGCTACAACTTTGGTGGTCGCAATCTCCGTCGGTTGGTCACTCACGTTACTTATCTCCGCTTGCGAAAAGCATGGGATGGGTTAGGCTCTGAAAAGCGTACCAAGCTGCTTTAATACTACCACTTTGATTGGCATCGATGAGTGGATCCAAATTGATCACTAGTGCTGACTGCCACCATTCCAGAATTTCGGAGGTCGTCAATCCGTAACTCCTTCAGCCACTTCCTCTTAGGACTGATACATCGGTCTCCGACTACGGTTACCCGATCGTTCTTAGCACCATTTTCACACTTTTTGTACCTACTTGGTATAAGATGCCACACCGGTTGTCTACTCTTTCACCTCGTTGACTAAGGTTCTTTGTCAAAAGGTAACTGCTGTTCTGTTAGTGACCCAACCAATCATTTTTTCGACTCTGAACTCTTTCCTCGTTGCTTACTCTGTATTTCAGGATGAACCGTTGGTTCTCCGTCCCCCAGTTGGCGCCGAGGTTGACCGCGGTCTGGGATTACAGTTTCGTAGCCTCTTCCGTGCAAGAAGCAGTTCCAGTCGTCGCAACCGCTTCATATGTCACTGCCTTCTGTCCATCTTTCTCGCTTTGCTCACTGCACTCGTTTTGTTACTAGTCCTGTTCATTCTTGGAATTGGCCATTTGTTGCCAGCTCACTCGTCATCACAAAATTATTGGGGCCACCAGTCTATGTGCCGTGTGTCTATCCCGGAATTGCGTCTCCATGTCACCGAAATGATTTCAGTCGATGATAACATGTTCAATGTGACATTACTCGGAGAAGATACTTCCGCTTCTAAACTGACGCGCATACTTCATCTATGCAAGGATGGCCTGACGGTTATTCGTACGGCCGACCGTTGCTACATTCGCCCAATGCGCGCAGATTGGCGTCGTGTGTGCTCCAGAGAACCGGTGAGATTGTTTGAGGTGAGACCACTTCGTTTCTTCCCTGACCACAATACATTCACTATTCTGACCCTGTTGTCTTGTTATTCCATTGTTTCCTCGTATCGTTGGTGGTCTCCTTTTATTTAGTACCACATAGATTTGTCTGCGTGGGTCACCCTTGATGGATGCTCTTCCGTCGTTTATGTGTCACATTTTCATCGGGATCTTACTTGTTTGCTTTGTTTGCTAGGACGGCATTCGCATGAGACCTACTGTGAGTGCCCGCTTATATGATGAGGCCTGGTTTTCGGAACCATTGACACATGTACCAAAATTGATCCTCAACTCCTACATTTTGGCTCTTTGCGACGGCGTTCCTGCTCTTCGGCTGGTATCCAAACCGCCCTGGGGGTACACTGCGAATACCATGGTGAGTCCTGTGGTCGATCTCTTTTGATTGATTTCTGTAGCAGGAGTTCTGTTACTGGTGGACGCCGCAATCAAACCGACTAATCAGTTTCCGACAAACCACGCCGATTGCTGCTCCATGTTCTTACATGCACTCGTTCGTGTTTGAATAGTTTTAGTTACCACCACTTGCTTTGAATGCAATGTCCGATTTGGTTTCTCAAAACCGTATATATACATGTACTAATAGAGTAGCCCGATCCCCTACGCAGACTGGAACCCGTGCCCTCGGATTACAAGGCATGCAAGCGATACTTAAGGTCACGGGATGGCATTTTCTGCTTAGAATGCAATGTGTCTGATATATATATATATATATATATATATATATATATATATATATATATATATATATCCCCTTGCTGAGGCTGATGTTGCATTCATGATGCTTCTTCACCGCAGTTGGGCTAAACCAACTTACACTTAAACTAGGTCTTTTTAATGTGGATAAAATTCATTACATGTTATTTGGTTTGTTCTGCGTACTTGATAATCTTCTCCTTACTTGCACACGTCGCTCACGCAAATTGTGGTAAACTTGCGTAATTTTATCGCGTGGTATTTTTAGAAATAACTTTCGGACATTTTGTACTTATCACGGATTCACTTATAACCAATTTCTTCTATATGCTCATTTAGCGAGTATTTATATCGTCATATGCATTTACTTTAATCGATATCGGCATTTCGAATGATTAGCTGTTGTTTGACATCCCAGGTGTGGCTGCGCTTGATGTGCATGTTGACAAGGTGCCTGCCTGTCTATTACCCACTACCTCGTCCATACTGGCTCCAGGAGACAGTTGGTCGTTGCTGGAGGGGACGGGGTGCACGGTCCTTGTGGTCGTGCTAGGCTCGAAGAGTGGTTCCATGCACTCAGTGTGGAGCGGACTACGGTCCAGCCACCGCCTTGTGTGCGATTGATTCCCCAAATACAGCGTGCTTGTGTTTGTCTGTGAAGGAGTGTGGGCCGGCTCCGTTGATGAAACGTGGCTCCCATCCACATGCCTCCCGATCTTATTCCTTTGGGTTTACACTGGATATGGGGTGTGTGGATGGAGCTGTGGGTGGTGCAGCGCAAGCCACCCATGGTCCCTCTGTAGGCGCAAGCGTCCTGTGGCTGGCCACAGTGACAGGCAAATCCGAAATCGGATGCCGCCAGCTATATATATATATATATATATATATATATATATATATATATATATATATATATATATATATATATGGTTGGCGGCATCCGGTTTCGGATTTGCCTTATCTTTGCACGATAGCCAGCTGTTTGTGACGGAATGTTGTCTACACAAGGTGTAGGCGCCTTGAACCTGAATGTTTGCTTAGGGCATTAAGGTTTTCAGGTAAGTCCCCCTTCTCTCCCTCTTATTATTCTTTATTTCATAGGTCCTCATGATTGTATGGCAGCGAAGCATCAGTTCAAATGGCTGATGTGCTGCTGTTGATGATGAAGTTCACGAGGTCAGGAAGTTTATTTTACGGAAATGCTACAAACACGATAATGTTATCGAAATAACTACAAGTGGCTTGAGCGACGTGTGCAAGTGTATAGAAGAGAGTATAAGTAGGCATTTATATGGGAGAGAAAAGCATTAGGACAAAATTAAAAACCCACCACCTGAAATAAAGAGACTTAGCATGCAAGCACGCCAGTAGTAAATCGAATGCAGCGTACCTACAAACGGTCCGCCGGTTCTACCTACGTTCTCTGCTGGACTCTTCGTCGCTTCGGTAGTGGTCCCGAAAGGCCTCGCTCATGGCTCACTAGGCCTGCCTGACTCAGGCACTCGCGACCGCATGTGCTACAGCACCATGCGCTCGATGTCGATGGAGTAAAACCCATCGGTGCTTGCCGCTTCCGCAATTGCCGCTTCTTCTCTGCACGTATGAGGTCTTTTTTTCCGCACTTCGGCAACTGCCTTCGTGATGAGATCGCGCCATGCACCACCATCAACCGCCTTTGATTCCCATGACCTGCAATCAAGATTAGAACGTGAGAGGCTCACTTTGATCATGTCCTGGTAACGTAACTTTGGTTTCCCCACGTGCCGCTTCCCAATACTCAGCTGACCGTATAAGAGTTGTTTCGGTATCCGCGTTGAATCCATACGCCACACATGACCGAGCCACCTCAGATGTCTCAGTAAAAGTATGCAGTCCACTGCATACATCCCACTTTGCCGCAGCACTTCCGTGTCAGCAACTCTGTCGCCCCAGCCGATGCGCAAAATCCGTCGCAGACACTGCTGATGGAACCGCTCGAGATATCGCACATCCCGACGGTACATCGTCCACGTTTCACTGCCGTACAGAAGCACGGACAGCACCATGGATTTGTACACCATCAGCTTCATGCCAATGGTAAGCTGATGGTCGTTCCACACTCGGTACTCAAGCTTCCCGGGTGCCGCCGCTGCTTTCGACACGCGGATACGCAGCTCACTGTGTATCTGCTGGTCAGTCGACATCACACTCCCAAGGTAGCAGAAGCGGGAGGTGGTTTCCAATACTTCGGCACCAATGCTGATTTGCGGCAATATTGAAGATTGCACTTCCGGTGAAGGCAGAATGAGACAGACAGTTTTGCTTGTGTTGATGGTGAGCCTGAATTTGGCCGCTGTCGAAGCCAGAGCACCAGTCATGTGCTGCAACTCAGACGCGCTGTGTGAAAACAACGCACAGTCGTCAACAAACAGCAACATACGGATAGTTGTCACACAGACTAGAGTTCTCGCACCGAAACGACGGATGTTCAGCAACCCCCCATCGATACGGTGCTCCACACGAACATCGTAAGCACAAGCGGCATAAAAAGCACAAGACATCATTGCATGAAGATAGATATTAAACAGGGCAGGAGCTAAGACACAGCCTTGCTTCACACCAGAGACCACTGCAACGTCATCGGAGGTCTCCACTCAGCTGCACCCTCGTTCGCATACCACTGTGCAGACATTCAATTCAACTTACAAACTTACGTGGGCAACCAAACTTACCCAACACCAGCCACAATGCCTCGCGGTTCACCGTGCCAAATGCTTTGGTGAACTCAACAAAAAGCGAGTACAACGGTTAGTGTCATTCTCTACAATCTTTCTGCAAATGACGAGCCGCAAACACCATATCTATAGTGCTGCGACCGGAGCGGAATCCACATTGTACTTCCGCCACCTTAAGTTCCACAACCTGACTGACGAGGTGGTTGAGCAGGATTCGGGAAATCACCTTGCCCACACAACTCAGCAAGTCGACGCCACGATAATTCGTGCAACATTGCTTGCTACATTTGTCCTTGTACGGTGGTAGCACAAGGGCATCCTTCAGTTCAGGAGGCACCTCTTCCACAATCCACACACATTGCACCAAGTGGTTCAGCGCAGTCACAAACGCGGGTCCGCCGCTTTTCAATACTTCAGGCAGGATCCCGTCGGCCCCAGCACACTTGCCGTTTCGCAGCTGAGCATGTGCTCTCTGCGTCTCATCCAGTGTCGGCGTGTAAGCCAGACTCGCCTTCATATCGTGCTGCTTCTGGTCGTTAAATGTAGGCCAATCGATCTCTGAACGGTTGTTCAAGAGACAGTCAAGGTGATATCCCCAGATCTGCATTATGTCTGCAGTCTGGGTGCAGGTAGCGCCTGAACTACCACAGATCAGTGTCCTCAGCGGCTCCAATCTCGGTCCATACACCGCCTTCAAGGAGTCAAAGAATTCCTTGTGTTGGCGGTGTTCGGCGTAGCATTCCATCTGTTTCGCCTTCTCCGTCCACCATGCATTCTTAATGCGACGGAGCTCTCGGGTCAGTCGCCGTCGAAGTTTACGAAACTGACTCTTCTTCCCAAAGTCACTGGGGTCTACAACATGTGCAGCAAATGCTGCATTCTTCTCCGACACCAACGCGCCGATCGTCGCATTGTTCTCATCAAACCAATCAGGCCGCTTGCAGTTTGCGCGCCCGATTGTCTCCTCGGCAGCAGCTGTCACCTGGTCGCGAATGTGGTGCCACAGGTCGCCCACTGTGGCTATATCTTCCACATCACACAGGCGTGCATCCATCGCCTTCTCCAGCTCAGTACGTTTCGCCCCAGTATCGAGGGAATGTTAAATTTATGCCGGTTCACGGCGGGAGTGCCATACATAGATTTACGAAAATATATGTACAGTTTGGTCCGAACCAGTTTGTGATCGGTGCCACACTCAGCTCCACGCAATACACGTGTCATGCGCACTTCACGCATATCACGCTGACGTACGATGACATAGTCGAGCAGGTGAGCGTGACCACTCCGTGGGTGCGTCCAAGTTGCTATATCACTCGCACTCAGTGCAAACCGAGTGTTCGTGCTCGTCAGGCTGTGAGTGGCACACAGTGAGACCAGCTTGTCACCGTTCGCATTCACTGAACCAATGCCATGCGGACCGATAACATCTGTCCACACCGATGCATCACGCCTAACGCGCGCGTTGAAATCACTCAGCAGAAATAGTCGGTCGCTCCTCTGCACAGACCGTGTCACGGAGGATAGCTCAGTGTAGAATTGATCACGCGTGTCATCAGGATAACACATGGTCGGACCGTATGTGCTTATAATGGTGGCAAACTTACCTCTTCCGAGTCGTAGGCGAACAGTCATCAGTCGCGCGCTGAGGCTTGTTGGTTCACCCACCAGGTGGCCATGGAGGCGATCGGATATTGCAAATCCGACCCCATGATCACGTGGTGCTGAGGCGGCGTTGCCCACCCAGTAGAATGTGTAGCCAGCACCTGCTTCATGTAACTTACCTTGCTCAGCCAGCCGGCTTTCACTGAACGCCGCATTATTGGTGTTGTAGCGCGCCAGTTCCATCGCGACGAGTGCAGTGCGTCGCGCCGGGCGCTCGCTGGAGTTACGGTCCAGTATTGTGCGCACGTTCCAGCACCCGATGCTGAGTGCTTTGCGCGCAGGCCTA